CGTCAAGGCTGTCTTTCGCCTCGACTGCGACTGCGTATTGGTTACTGCATGGGGTGCACGTAGTACGTACGTACGTAGGTACTGTATACGTACCGGCAAAGCGCGCGGCGTACGTGTGCCGTGACAAGTACAGTACAGGCAAGCGGAGCTAGCCAGGGGGCTGCTAGCGGCGTACGTTGCCGTGACAAGTAGGGTAAAACGGCTGCCGGACAGTTCAGGGAAAAAGCTTGGCTTGACAGCATTGGTCAAGGCTAATGCATGCGCTGAATGCCCAGGGCAGTATGTCATCAATAACAACTACAAACGCACGTGTGATATGAATCAAATAGCCACTTAAAATGATATGCGGGGACTTTGACGTCAACTCAAAATGATTCTCTGCAATTTACATCAACAATAACATTTGATAAAAACGCGCAAAATCCATCACTAACATTGTGAGAATAACTATCATGTTTTGTTTGTAAATAGTAAATACGAAGTATTAGGCTATATACACATTCTTGACAAATTAAAGGGTAATGCCGAACTGGAACGCATTTCTGTAGCGAAATAATACCGGTAACAGTTGTGAGAAGATTTTTCCAAAAGTTTAAAACTTCCATACAGCTTGAAAAATTGTTGTTTTCATGAAATCATCACACGAAGGAATTTTGATCTTCAGAAAATCGAGCCATTGCAGCGCTATTTGTCATTCCAGTTACACATGAGTCACAAACAAGGCACGTGTGCACAAGATTTGAGCTAAGTTGTTTGTAACCTGTAAATCTTAGACATTCAAAGTTTCAGCTGTAAAAATCAGTTGCGTGCCTACAGGTTTCACGAGTTGTGTGCAAAATAAGTTAATCGCAGTTGATTCAGTTTCAACTTACGTGAGGGCGCTGTGATGGTGATCAGCGTGGCCGCAAACACCAGCAGATTTGATGCAGAGCAAGACATTGTTTTCGAATACCGTGAGAGAAAGTAATACAAACGTCTTCAAGAGAGATCAGCTGGAGCCGAGTGTGAACCGATGGAGGTTGGTAGATCGGTTTATATATCATGGTGCTGGGCTTCCCGATAAGTGTCTTTCGGGGTTATTGATGGTGTTAAGTGTCTGAGCAGATATCCGTCTGGTTTTGATGCAACAAATCCTCCGAGAGTTGTTTCCTGGTCTGTTTGTGTTGATAGGAAGCCAACAATCTGTATCATACAGGGACCCGGGGTGCAAGGGCGCGATAGCATGCGTGGGGGTGGGTGGGTGTTAGGAAGGTATTGACACCCCCCCCCCCCCCCCCCAATATTTACCTTTATTTTTAAACATCCCGAGAACGTTGATCGATTTCGACTCGAGATATCTCAAGACGGATTTCAAGACATTTCTTATTTTTTTGAAAGATATATCTAAATGAATTTAACAACATCGTTGGTGTGGATAATTAAGTGTCACATATGCGCGCCGTCGATCTGTAAATAACCAGACCACGATATTGAACTTGGCAAGACATCAAACATCTGGCAGTGACATTGCTGTGCAGATCAATGCACCAAGGTCGGAGCCGAAAACAAGTTCTGGGTTAAACATTCATTTCCTTTTGGCGGATGTGTTTTTGGGCTGGCTTATAGTTACCCTCACGTATGACGAGCCTGCAACTGACATGATCAAGATGATAATCCCAGACAGACTTTAACTTGAAATGTTCTTGGCAATACATCGAACATCTGGCAGTGACATTGGGCCTCGTCGGGTCCGCACCCCCCCCCCCCCCCCCCCACTTACTGTGAGTTGTCTCGATCTGACACTGCAATGCAGTAATATGTATCGTGTAGACCCAATAAATAGACACCTGAACCCAAACTGCGTCTTATTTCACCAATTACATCAAAATAATAATAAATACATATAACATATAAATTGTCATTATGATTCGTATTCATGTGCCATGAGATTAAAATTGACAGTCCAACAAGCATCCGTTATTGGGCTGTGCGGACTGTGTAGTGGCGTAACTAAGGAAGGGGGGGGGGACATGGGGGCAGCTTCCCCTGTTCGAGGCCTGTGCCAGTCCCTTGTGCTCCTTAACTCAGAATTATCCACACTTATGTGACTTTTCGTTCTCCGACTTTTCGTTTCCGGATTTCATTTGAATGCGTTTATATCAGTGGATTCATTATACTGCGAGTTGCTGTCTTTGAAAAATATCCAAATGGATGGGAGTTCAATAATATAATAATTGGTTATCGATTCCACTCCTGTTTTCTGGTTTTTTTTATCATTTTGTATAATTTTTTCAACAAACACTGTTTGTATAGAGTATTCCTCATTTGCAGTATACGCGTACGTGTTCAAAAACTTGCAAGTGATCCAATACCAGGGTGAGAGAGCAGGTAGTGGTGGGCTCGTACTGGTCGACACCCTGGGGTCGAAGTTGCCGAAGACCCGATATAGAAAGCGCCCGCTTCACAAGACTCGACTATACTGAGAACTGGGTGGGACCAACTATGGCAAGGCCAACATGGGTGAACATTGGAAGTGACGCGTGTGGTTTGACACAGGCTCATATTTACCCTCATGTATGACGATCCTGTAACGAACACGCATGTTCAAGACGTTCATCCAAAAAAGACTTAACCTTTGACATTTTCTGGGCAATATATTAAACATTTGGTAGTGATCGACATAGCTGTGTGGAGTACCTATGCACCAAATTGCCCACGTAAAGGCGGAGCCGAAAACAAGTCCCGGTTAAAACATTGGAACCGTATCATAAGTCTGACGCCTCTTAAGTCCGACGTCGGAAAAACAAGGGGTACGAGGCGTCGTAGCATGGAGGCGTCGGACTCATGGGCCTTTTATTGGTTGGGAGATGCGATTTTGTCGGAGCTATGAGGCGTCAGACCTATGAGGCGTCAGACCTATGCAGTTGTTACCCTCATGTATGACGAGCATATAACTAACATTCATGTTGAAGACGTTGATCCAAAAGACTTATCTTTGAAATTGTCGGGACAATATATCAAACATTAATTTGGCAGTGACACTGCAGTAATGTTTGGAAGGCAGGTTTAAAGCAACCCTCCTAATAGACGGAAAACTCTGATTCCAAACCCGTGCAGGTGGGGCTCGTCAGCCTTGGTTGGCTACCCACCTAGGAGAAGGCTACCTCGGAAGTATAAAACCATACCACTATTACTCCACTCCTGGTCGGCTTACCGGATGGGGTTGCGCGTTGGGCCAACGACCCACTGTGTCAAAAAAAACCGCTTGCTACGAATTGCTAAGCTGATTCTAATATGGTATGACCTTGAAACGTCTTGACCTACGATGACGGAAATCCTCTCAACGGACTCAACCACTCAAAATTGCGACCTGGAATGTCTTTCTGATTGTCCTCCTGCCCCCCCCCCCCCGCCTCCCTCTCCCCTACTCCCAGTTTGACAAGAAATCGCCGCTCCTGCGCTGACAAACATGTTGATGGATATGGCAGTGACGCTAAGTATGTTTTTTGATGAAATCCGAGAAAGTCTGAGAAGTTCTTTCAAATGCGCCGTTAGGCAACCCTCTGCCCGATTTTGTGCACAGTTTATCCTGCTGATTTATTTGGACGAATCCTGGCGCACCTGATCACCGTATACACTCTCGAGGCCCCCTTCAATGGAGAAACCATTACGCAAGCTATTGCACAAAACAACTGCATGCCTCGTGCCGGATTATCTGAACAATAGCTAGCACAATGCCTCGCCATTGAAAGGGGCCGTCGTGATAGTTGTTAGCGTGCTCGGATTTTGTCTGTACCAGGGGGTTGCTTTAATGCAATCCTTGAAAACGCACATTTGTGTCCCATTTAACCTTATTTTCAATTATCGATTTTTAAGGCTATTTTGGTACCATTTTGTTTTTTATGCTCATGCGAATTTCCATATTCATGAGCAAAAGTGTGATGTTAATTCAAGCAAAAACCTCCATGTTACAGCTATGTCAGCATCAACAGTTGTCAGAATTTATCACGATTTGCTTCGAAATTGTTCTTTTCTTTGTCGAAACGTTTTTGTGTCAGTACCACTACATGGCATTAAAGCAAGTAAACGTTTCTCAAACATATTTTTAATGAGCACATTTTTTAGTTCACGATTTGACCAGAAAACGCCTTAACTGAACAGTGTCTTCTTAAATTAACATTACAGTGAAACAACGTCCTCGGTTGTCCGGAAAAGTATGGACAATCATAAATGTTTAAAGTGCACTTTTCAATAACAATTTAACCAAAAAGGGATCGTACAAGTAGTTTCCATACATTGAAGAGGCGTAGAAAGTTACTCAAAATGTGTGCCTAAGAAAAATTCATCTCATGAACCCTTTATTACCAGGACCACATTTTGAGTTTCAAGATAAATTGTTTTTCTTTTCTTTTTTATTTTGCAGCATGATAATCATGTAGGTCTACAAAATGCTACAATAAGTGCTTTCTTGTGTGCTGATTTAAATATATGAAAAATCTAATAAGTATTATCCCCAGATAAAATTCACGGTTTATTCTTATGGCTAACATTATACGAGGCCCAAATGCAAAATTATTATGTTTGATAATGATATAGGTCTCAAGTGCTTTCTTGTGTGCAGCTATATTAATGTGCATTTATAGGAACAATTTAAGTTTTATCCCAAGCGAAACACGCACGTTTATTTTTAAATAATATTCCGCCGAATATTTTGCATGACACAAATCATGAAATTAATTCAACGTATTTGGCAAAGTTTGTTCACCTTCAAGTAGGCCTATTCTACGCATTATACGCAACATTGTTAACTTTCCTGAAATAACATAATTACAGTTTATCGGTGTATCAGAGTAAAAGAGAGTCCAACATTTTTACTCTCACTGCTTATCAACTGAACTTTATCTTTTCGCTCTCCAAATGTATTTGAATGTATTGATGAATCGACTATCCAAATTGATGGAGTCCAATAATATAATGATTATCGATTCAACTCCTGTTCGCATATTTGGGGTTTTTTTTTTGTTGGGGGGGGGGTCTTGTGGTGTTTTCTTATTTTCATTTTGTATATGAAACAAATAAAGCCACCATGATTGTTGCATGCCATCTTATGTGTATTACATAATGCTGCACAAAAAAACATACATTGACGAGAAGAACTCTCATTCAAAACTACTTCTAACCGAAATGCACTGTTAACATAGACTGGTGCCGTAGATTACCCAGTCAGTAATATACTACAATGCAAAGAGAAGCGAGGTACCACTCTCCATATATTGGCTTTACAGCATGCACGGGTTATAGGCCCAGACCAGTCGCGTGAGTATAGAAGAATTCGACCATCAATTACGATGGGCGCTTTGAATGGTCCAAAAAACCATGAAACAAATATTAATTGTCCCTTTAAAAAAAGGAGATGAGTGTGTATAATAATATAGTTGGTGTCCTATTCTTCCTGGTTGCTTGAGCGGTTTAGCTTTCGTCACTTGTTGGTTGTTACGGTGTCTCCTGCAGTAATACAAAAGCGCAGAACAAAAAGTTTGCATCTTAGGCTGTTGAAGAAAACTCAAAACAAAACAGTTTTCATTTTTAAAAAAATGTGTTCTGAATAAAATCTTAACAGCAACCTGGCTCTATACAATCATAAGACCGTCTTTACACCGAAGTCAATACAATATTCTCTCCGAACGATCATCAGGTTCGCAGACATATGCGAAATTAAGAATCGGGACATACTTTCATGCAAGAAACCCTTGCAAATATTGATTAAGGTATCAACCGATTATTGCTAGGCAACTAATAGTTTCAACACATTGTACTATTTCAGCTTTTTATCATTTAAATCAAGGTATACGGTTGCACAATAAAAATCGTTACTATCTAATTGAATGGAGCACTCGTTCTTGCATGACGCTAGAACAAATCCATCTTTCTAATGATAGGAATACGCGGAGTATTTCTATGACGATTTGAATCCTTGACGATGTGGTATAGGATTCGTTGCACTGCCCTCATTATATGCTTACCGTCACTGCAGATCACTCCAGCATCGTGTGAGTGGCTACAACTTGTCTCCTCCCAGCAGTAGGAAGGGCAGTCGGTAATTTTCTCTTCGGAGCCTTCGCACGCTATGCCGTCCATATGGACGGGTCCGCTACCCTGCCCGAAGTGGGCAGCGGACTTGGCCTCCAGTGCGTCTGAGAAACCGAGCTGGCGGCAGACAATCCCCGCATCAGTCTCGTTCCAATTGGAATCACAGATGGTGCTCCAGCTGCCGCCACGGTATATCTCCACTCGGCCGCTGGTGCGAGATCCGCCGACCAACCGAAGCTCATCTGATCATTTCACAATAAAGACACCATCTGACTCAAGTTAGAAAACAAGACGAGTTACAGTCTGACGCCTACACTGTGGAGTGGTGTAATGAAAAAGGGGCGGATAGGTAGCCCGCCCTCATGGTTAGTAGACCTCCCAATCCCCTCTTCAGCTGGAAATACAGGCTGATAAAAATATGTCACGTAGTGATCAGAATCAAATTACCTGTCTGTCAGTGACAGTGCCCCAAAGAACCCATAGGCCTACCGAGGACATCAAGTGAGCCTATATTCAAGAATCGTTCCCCGTGCTATTAACAAATTTTATCCCCAAAAAATAGATTCATTTTCTAAGTTATTGCTATTTTTTTTCTATAGCAATACGAAAGTTATTCACTTTTGAATGAGACATTGAGCGAAAAATCAGCCCGTTTAGTTGTTGAATCATAAGTACTTTACAGTTCCGAATTATTTGCTTCCAGACAATGATGTTATTCTCGCGGGTAGGCTGGTCCCCGCCCCACAATAAGCCTCTGTACTAATGACGTCACACTTTGTTTATATGTGTGCTTTCCTATGGTTCTTAGTGGACCGTGGGCCCCCACTGGCTCCATAGGAAAGTGCATATGTAAACAAAGTGTGACGTAATAAGAAGCACAGAGGCTTATTAGTATCGATAATGTACGGACCGAGAGCCAGTCTGCTTGTAAATTGGGTCTGTTTGTGCCCAAAGCAAACACTTTTTTTTTTCTTCAGAGGGTTGCAGACGATCAAAAAATTAAAAGGAAAATTGTCGGTTAGAATGAAACATACAAGTTGTAAATTTATTAATAGAAAAACAAGATAATATGTTGAAGAGCAAGGGGAACTTAACCTTAAAAGAATCTATGGGTCCAAATAATCAGTATTGAGAGGCACCGGTAAGGTTTTGAATTCCTATTTGTGTCTATTTTGTGGGTGTAAGAGATAACAATCATTATTTCAGATTTTCCATTGAGTTCATGAGTATGTTTTTAGTATATCTGTACTTATTAGGAAGTGCTTTTGTTTGAAGAGTGAGTTTCGGGGTTGAGTACCCCCTTAATTTAGTTGACTTTTATCATCAGAGAATGCTGAAATATCATAAATACAAGGAGATGATTTGATAACACAAAAGTTACTTGTGTAATAGTAAGATGAACTTTAGGACACAAAGTCGGATGTGAATGACATGGAAACTAAAGAGGGCGGAGTATTTCTTACCAGGTCTTGGTTTACAAACGGCTCCTGCTACAGTTGAGCTGCTGCATTGCTGAGAGCCGGTACAGACAAACGGACAGTCAGCCAGCCGCCGTTCAGTTCCAGTACAGGCGACTCGATTCATCACGATCGGCCGGTCACTCTCTCGGCTGGACAACCCCGTTTTAGCCTCCAGAGCCTCGATGAAGCCGAGCTGATGACACACGGTGGTGGCGTCCTTCATATCCCAACTGCTATCACAGACTGCACCCCAAGCATCATGGCGGTAGATTTCCACTTGACCGCTCCATTTGTCGTCACCGCCCACTAATCGGATCATGCCGCTAGCGACTGTTGAGATCGAGAATTAGTTTCTTTTAAAATTAGTTCTTGAATGACATGTGCGGTCCGATTTTAAACAACAATCAGACGCAGGCCTAACTCTCAATAATAATGAGTCTTGTAAGATTCACACTCTTTCATGAGGTTCACTTCTTGGCCGAATGTTTGTGAGTGATACGACCAGCCTCAATAATCGTATCTATAATTTGAACACAAAACACGCAAAAGATGAGTGTGCAAATGCATATCATTCCTTTAAATTCTTTCTTTATTATGAGGTGCCGTTTCATGGCTCAAATCGCCTAACCAGATGTATTCCCCCTTCCATTGATGACTGTTGTCTGACAATGATGATAATTCCTTTGTCTTTGTTTACATCCAGGCAACTCAACTCAGATCCCAACTTATTTTGCAATATGAAAGTTATTATCCAATCTGTGATCCAAGCCCATCGTTTCCTGTGATTTGTACTTTGCATTGTCAGAATGCGACTAGAGCTGGACCAGCAGGAAAGAAACGATTAAACACACCCAGCAAGTGACATCAGCCGACAACAATACCATCATCCCAACTCCCAACCCTCCAACGTTCATTACCTGGATACTGACATAGGTTTATGAGGATCAAAGCAACCGACACTGTGCAAAAGCAACGGTGTTAGATTTAACACCGATGGTATCTTTGTAGGACCACTGGTGTTAAATATTCACACCGTACCTTTTTACAGTGTAGACGACCTGAAATAACTTAAAGAAAACAGTCAAATACCAGCATGATCGTTTGGCCTGCATCTGCATTAATGTGACACTAAATGAGTTCAACATAATTATAGATATGAATTGTATTAATACAACTTCCCCCGGGTTCTAATCACTGCTCATCAACATATGAAACGCAAGTCAGTGCTCGCAATTGGTTATTACAGTGTTACAATTTCCCAAGACCTTTAAATCTAACCCATTTATTTGCAACATTTACACCAAATGACAAGTGGTATCATCGCCTTTCTACATGTGACGTCATTTAGCATTTTTAAATTGGCCCACATTACCTCGACATCCGAGCACTTCAAATCTCAGATAATAATGATCATAGCTAGTCCATGTGAGTGGAAGTATGCGGAGGAATCTTGCCATCAGTACCACGGGGAACGTCACATTCACAGGTTGGCTATTACCATTGTGCCCATTCAACTGGAAACACAACAACAAAATGCACACAATTATCGGTAATTCAGAGATTTCGTTGCGAACCAATTTTTGGCGGCACTATCTCCGTATAACATGTCCATAAAACTACATTATACATGGATCTGATACCTTGGGAGAACGAGGATCTTTTTCAGAAAGACTTTTGATGTGGGAACAAAGTCACTTGATATAATTCTTAAGGAATAAGTCTAATGTCACTCCTCTTCCAAGTCTGAGCTGTAGGCGTGAAGAAACAGTATTAAACGAGGCTAATAAAGCTAGTCCTGGATCAATTTTGGTTTAAGGTGTCTACGTAGTCATCGTATAGTCACAGTTGCGGGCGTGAGTGAGACTTATGCAAGTGTAATTCACAAGTGACAGTTAGTCAGTTAGTGAGGTAAAAATAGGGCTATCGGCTGTTCATTCTGGGACCAGCAAAAATAATGAACAATGCAAGGACTTGACAATGAGGGCATGGGTGGGAATCACGAGGCGGGGGACATGTACACTGCAAAAACTATGTTTAGCAATTGAACACTTTTCTAAACACTTTCTTGCTCTCAGTTTGTAAACGTGTCTAACATGTCTACATACTAAACATGTTTAGAGCATTCGTCGTCGTTCGTATATGATGCTTCCATAGCTAACTCACACGGGAATGTCCAATTCTTGCAGCCACTTGGCTGTATCTTCCTCTAGCTCAATCAGGCCGGTGGGACCGTGAGGGGGCTTGAAGATTGGGCAGGCGTGCATGATGTGTTCTATGGTCTGTGGTAACCCACAAGGGCAGGTGTCATCGTCACAATTTAAGCACTAATCCGGTTAAGGAAGGAGCGGGTCTTTCCCCACCCTGCGCGGAGGCGGTTCAGCCTTACCCAAGGCTCGCGCTCGAGGTGGATCCCTACAGAGCATTGATGGATTTAGTGTTTATCGCGGATTGAACATTGGTGTTTCGGAATGAGACACGTAATGTTTAGCTTCTAAATATGTTTCGAAACAGTTTTTAGAGTCTAGTATCCCATTGCTACGGATGTTTACCTGTTATATATGAGTTCCGATTGTGTGACGTCAAAGATCATCCGATTTTGCCCTGAACAACTACCATTGTAGTAATGGTTGCATTGCAGGCGACAAGCGTTAGATAACTTTAAACGCCATACTTTCAGAATCTGCCACTATGGACTTGGCGTCCTCCATGTCGTTACAGTGCTGCAGACGGTGGCGGAAGGCGCGTGCTGCAACCGAAGGCTTCTGGAGTATTGAGGATGTGTGCAATGACATCAGGGGTGATCTTTCATTCCTTCAGAAGCATTCGGCCGCAGCACGTGCCTCCCGCCACCGTCTCCAGCGCTGTATCGACATTCTGAAAGTAAATATTTTTGTTCGTATCGCATTTAAATTTTACAAAGCTGATGAAACTCGCTCCATAAAATTGTCACGCGCCTTGCTTACATGATCTGAAAGTTTGGTTTAATTCCACAGGTAAACAGTAAAGTTGAATACGATCAAAAGTTCGACTTTTTTGACACGTAGGAGTACCTGTACCGTGTACATTTGCCAAATCGTGAAGACATAGCACTAGGTATTCGTTCAACATTTTCTAACGTTGTTTGTTTAATATCAGTCGTTAAGCATATTTTAAAACGGTGACGCAAATGTCATGGTTTAACTTCCAATCGTCGCGACGACGCGTCGTTGCATCTTTCAAACGCCTACTTAACTTTTCAAAAACCAGCAGAATGTATGCGTTAATTGACGAAACTGTTGCGTCATTTTTTAATTAAAAAAATCATTTGTTAATCTTGGTACGATCGGGCTTCCACATACGATTTGGCTTCTGATTATAGAGAATGCTATTATAACAAGATCCACACGGGATCATAGACTCGCCTGTACGGTCTGTCCTCTGTCAGTTAGTTTCTGCCAATCATTGGACTCGCCAGTATTACTGTAGTTTACAGCAAAGGTTAGGATATGATTGGTTCTTGGATATCCCTGTACGATGACCCCCGTGATGGCCGTGTACCGACCGAGGTCTACCTGGATCCATTGACCCTCGAGCTTTCCAATCGGGCATACCCACCAACCAGTACCTGTGGGGAATACAACAAAAGACCATGGCATTCAAAATAATATAGAACCAAATCCTACAGGGTTTCCATAATAAAACTACAACAGTTAGGAAAACTGTGATTATGATAATAATAATCATTTGTATTGTAACTTGCGCCAGTACACGGGCTTTGATTTGATGTCATTCCTGTTCTTAATAACTGAGTAACTCTTTGTTTATCCTGAGGGATCCCAATTGTTATTTGTTACACGTTAAATGAGGAAAATGAGATTTTGCCGGAGACTGCTCGCAAGACCAACACGATTCTTGAACGCTTCATAGCGACGAGGCAGGATTTTCCATGAATGACGAGGTTAATACCCAGAACGTATTTAGACAATATTATCCACAAGCGACGAAAAAAAACAACCGTTTAATTTGAAAGGAACGACAGTCGCACTAAACTTAATATTTGTATAAGTATGTGTGGTAATGGTCTCATGATTGACCCCTTTTTCACAGAGGAAAGCATCAAGTAAATAATCAGGTAGTACCTTGCAGCAAATTTCCATAGTCTGATTAGAGGAACTTTCAGTATCTGTGGTGGGCACAAGGTAGTGCTCCAACGCATCGGCGCTTAATCAAGACATCGAGTGGCCCCCATGCATGCTTCCCTTACCTAACACCCTGCGATTTCTTTTTAGGACTGGGTGTTGAAGACGCCGTCTGTTCAGTTTTCTTAAAAATTTGAATGCGCATCGAAGCAGAAACACGCCAAAATTAACAACTTGTAAGTCGCGCAGTGGCACATTTTATGCATAGACGGGCCTAGGAATGCGTCATTAGGGACGGAGGACAATGTGGAATGAGTTTATCAATACACACAGTCAAATTATTGTGTGGGCATGATCAATGTGGCTACAAAAAAGATGCAAAGTAGGTGGTGACATAATGTGAAATATAACTTTATTGTAACAAGGCCTAAATGTGTGAAATCAAGGGGTTTTTTTTTGTTACTACTTTTCATTTCTTTAACATGTAACAATTGACACTTCGGGTCCCTTAGTATAAACAAAGATTACTCAGTCATGTGAAACAGAAATGGCTTGCAACAGGCATCAAATTAAGGCCCGTGTACTGGCGCAACTACCAATACTATTTTGTATTCTTGTCATTTGAAGATAATTTACAATCACGGTTTTTATAACTATTCCGGTTTTTGCGAACCCTGGAGAATCACAGTGACGGAAATTCGCAGCCGACACTGAGTTAGTGATGTTGATTTTGTTTAAACGACAGTAAACCAGCATCGATTGTTTCTTCCAAGCTAGGGCATGAGGACACTATGTTACAAAACAAGTAAATGCGATGACATAATGGTAACACGGACAGAGTGATTCATTGAATCGATTTATTTATTTAGTTATTTTTTTATATTTTTTTTGGGTGGGGGTCAAGTTTATGGTGAATGCATCCACTATTTTCGGGATAACCCAATCGCCCATCCCAGCCCCCCCCCCCCCCAAAAAAAAAGTTTGAGATATATCGCCCTAAATCGCTGGGATTTACATAAGCACGTGAATACAGGATACGCGGTCTGACTGTAGCATGAGTATTGCTGCTTTCATGTAACGGGAAATTGTCATATACATGCGGCGTGGTGTGCTCACACAGAATCACTTCCGTGCATCTTTCTCTCAATTTCAAGAGCAGTTTCAGATTATTCAAGCTTTCCAGGAGTACAGGGTTCGAGCAATAGGTCAAATAAAATATTGAAAAAAGTAAGCTGTCTTGCGGAGATTATCCGGAATCCATAGAGTTTTTTTGAGGGGCCGACCTATTTTTATATTTAGAACTTAGACAAAGGGACATTTATGGGTTAAAGATATGTAGGATCATTTGCATGTATCTCAGAAATAACCAACCGAATGATTAGTTGTTTTTTGGGGGATTAAAGATCGTAGGGTACTAACCATCCCGTGATGTTATTTCGTCTGGCTTGAGGCCATTGCAAAGAAATCAAGAAATGGTGGTGATTTCCAACGATCAGTCAATTGCCTTTTTTTTAAATACTGAGTACCATGGGCGAAATCGTATTTCGTGATCACAAGATAGTGCATGGTTTTTCAATGTTTTTGCGAAAAAAATTAGCTGAAGTTTCAACTGGTTAGGTTTAAGGTTTAAACATTCATCTTTAAAATTTGAGAGGTGTTATTATTGGAAACGAACAATGCATGAAAAGCAAATGTCCCTAAAGCCTTGAGAAAGAAAGGGGCTGGTCATATTGACCAAGAATGGAATCATAATTAAAACATTCAAAATGCTCCGTTAATTAGAATGTTTTTTTTTTAAAAGTTTCTAGTTGTTTTTAGGGTCGGGCTTATACAATTCCTATGTCTTAACTCACAAAAAAGGGGAAAAAACACAAAGTAATCAACAGTTGCAGACTATTGCAATGAGAGTAGCGAACAATGAGACTTACCACTCAGTCGGGCCTTCCTTGGGGGATATGAGCCGTGTGAGTCTGACGCCGTCAGGCTGGAATCAGGGATGGCCCCACTGGCCATCCCCAGTGGGGAACTCGTACACGAAGGACCTGAAATGACACAAAATATATCGGATACAAGGTATCATTTTTTTATTCCCATTTTGCCTGCCAAATAAATTTGTTTAGTGGACCACAGCATGACTTTTACACTGGAACATATTTTTTTCGCAACCTTCCGTTCCTCTAAAATGCAAGAAAACCATAAAACATCATTTTTAGTTTAACAGTTTTTTGCATTAAACATTCAAGTATTCAATGTTTTTCCTGACAACAGATTGCGATGTTGCAAACCGCTTCAGCCCGAGGAGCCAACGAATTTGCTCATTGAATGATGAGTGCACAACGTTTGCTCATTGGCTTACTGTTATTTACTGAAACAATCACGAACCGCACCAAAAACCCAAACAATTTACTTCTGCAAAAAGTCCAAAATTCTGACATCTTTTCGTGCTGAAGCAGCTTTAAAGGGAACGGACACCATTAATTTTTGCAAAATTCCAGAAGAAAAATAAAAGAAATCATTAAATATCATACTTGATTGTAAGTAAATAATAGGATCATGCAATGAGTGAAATCAGTGCGCCTTGCATGCTATCATTTTCGAGAAAAGAGTCATTATCATCATTTAATCGGAATGGTTAGGACAAAACCATTGCACTTTTACCGGGAACCCATATACTTTGCGTCGAGAAAAATGAAGTTACATTTTCATGTATATCTACTTTACTTAGTTTTTAATAACCTTTTTCAGATTGATTGTATCGGTATTTCTTGATTGTGATAGGGCCTATATCCCTGCTCCATTCCCTTTCTTGTTTTCTATTCCGATCAAATTCAGAGAATTGGAACTGCATAAAGCCACGGTATAGCTTCATATTTGTAGATATGGTTTAAATTACAGGGCTAGGGGTGGGTGATAAAATGGGTCATTATATTTGTTCTTGCACAGATAATAACTATAACCGCATGTGTCCCCTCATTCAAAGGAATACGAGGAGTGGAACACCTCCCCCCCCCCCCCCATCGGAACGCCACACGGCAAACACATAGGGGTACAAACAATACATTACATGTTACAATTAAACATCAGCAATTACATGTGGTTTTTTTTACCTGAAATGATTGAGCTGCTTGCCTGGTCCTGTGACGTCACATCTTGCACTACAGGATGGGCCGAGCATAATTCTAAAATACAAAGCCAAAATTGTGATATTTTAATTTTCATTCTTTTTTTAAACTGGAATAAACATAACCGACAGATGATATAGGCACAAAATGCGCCTCGTGTTTTCACACAGAAAAAAATTGGGCATTCTGAAAGCTGAATCCAGTGGATTCGTTTAAATTGTATAGTATATACGGATACAGCACTGAGTAAAACTGATGAGGCATCAAAAAAATATGATCAATATAAAAAAAAATGAAATTGAAACTAACAAGGCGAAAATGTATAAAATTGTACCATACATATTTTTCTATTTTCAACTCCCCAAAAATAAATGTCTTGTTTAAGTTGCTATTTTCCTTATAAGAGAGTTATTCAATTTAACTCTACAAAGTTCGAATTGATTAAAGCCGACAATAGGTCGTTCAGTTCTCGCAGGGTAGACTGGTTCCCGCCCAATTAGGATTCATTGTGTAGGGACGGGAACCAGTTTACTCACAGGGATTTGTGTGAGCATAATATAAGCCTGCTTTTCAAACTACTGAAGGAAGAAAGTCGGTTTTCATTCGAATTAACGAAACAAGTTTTAATGTTCGTCAGTAGAAAAAGAATATAATTTGTTGGAGAACACAGACGGTATATCTTCATTAAAAGGTGCACGCAATAACTATTATTAAATTCTTTATTAAAAAGAGACGTTTATATATCTTAGGACGCAACAATTAGACATTGGAGCCTTCTGGCTTTGGTAGTTTCTCGGAAAGCACCTTAAAAAGTTTACTGAACGTCCATACAATCACAACTTGAAAAATTGTAGTTTTCATAAAATCATCACGCGAAGGAATTTAGGCCACACCATTTTTTATCTTCAAAAGTAGAGCTGTTGTAACGCTAGTTGTCATTTTAATAACAAATGATTCGTAAACAAAGTGCGTGTGCACACGCTTTGTGCTCGGAAGTTGTAACTGTGAACCTCGGAAGTTTCAGCTATAAAAATCAGTTGCCTACTTACAGGGTTTTACGAGTTCTTTGCAATAGAAAATCATTTATGATAAGTACGATTGAAAATCAAAAAATCAATTCAGTTTCACACTTACGTAAGGGCGCAGATATGATGGCAAGGGTGGCCGCCAGCACCATCAGATTTGATATCGGAGAGTTAGACATTGTGTACGAAAATGAAAGTAATTCAAGACGTCTTAAGGAGAGATCAGCTGGAGCCGAGTATGAACCGATGGAGGTTGGTAGTCGGTTTATATATCATGGTGCTGGACATCCAGGGAAGGGTGTGTCTGCGATAAAATGCCTGAGCAGATATCTGACTTCGCTGCAATAATCAATCCCTCCGAGACGTTGTTTACGTGGGCCTGTTTGTGTTGGTACGAAGCCATCACACAACTTCAGAAATCGTGGCACTATTTTTTTTCTTTGCTACTCCATCCCTTTCTAGGCTTTAGTCAGCAAATTTTAAATGTAATTATATAAAACGGGAAGTCGATTTTTCTTCATTTCCTTGTGACGCATGTGTTCTGGCACTGGATCAACCGCGCAAACTGTGACGAACCAGCAACTATAATGTTCAAGGATCTTTATGGCGCGCAAAAGTGACATTCAATCAGGTTGAAGCGGTAGCTTTTGGTCATTTTAAGATATCTCCAGTTATTTCCAGTTATGTCCAATAGTTCTAACCATTTCCTTTTGCTATTTAAAAAACCTTGGAAGATACAAATCAAATTCAAGGTAGGCCTATCTCGAAATCCACAACGAACAATCTCGAAATCCTTTTCAGGTTATTTCGAGATATCTTAAAATCGATTGCAAGTATTCTCAAATATTTTCACATTATGTTTGAAATGATTTCAAGACATCTCGAATCAAACTCAAGGTAGGCCTATCTCAAAATCCACTACGAACAATTTTGAAATCCTTTTCAGGTTATTTCGAGATATCTTGAAATCGATTTCAAGATATTTCCAAATAGTTTTAAGATATTTCTGTATTGATTTCAAGACATCTTGAAATCAATTTCAAGGAAGGCCCATCTCGAAATCCATAACAAACTGTCTTGAAATCCATTTCAAGTAGGCCCTGAATTCCTTTCAAGACATCCCGAAATCCCTTTCAAGTTAGCTCGAAGTCGTTTCCGCTTCCGTGTGAATAGTCATTAATCATTCCGTTTTCATCCAATGTCCGACAGTGCTTGCGACCGTGGAATGGCGGAAGCGGAAACGATTTTAGGATATCTTGATATGCATGCATAGTGACATCTTAAAATCGATTTCGACTAGAGATATCTCAAGACAGATTTCAAGATGATCTTGAAATGGATTTTGAGATATTTGAAATGATATTAAATATAAATTTAAATTTAAGTGCTGTGTATTTACATGTAACCACATCGTCAAAGTGCATAATGCCACTTGTGCGCGCCGTACTTGACTTTGGCTTGGCAGTACATCCAACATCCGGCAGTGACATTGCTGTGCAGACCGTATACCAATGCCCCACGCAGGGACCTAGGCGGAGCTGAAAACAATTTCCGGGTTAAACATTCATTTCCTTGTGACGCATGTTTTTTTGGCGCTGGTTCATAGTTACCCTCATGTATGACGAGCCTGCAACTAACATGATCAAGATGGTAATCACAGTCAGAGTTTAACTTGAAATGTTCTTGGAAATACATCATACATCTGGCAGTGACATTGCAGCAAGCACGAATAAGGAAGTGGGGGAGTCACCCCCCTGCCCCCCCCCCCCGCCTTCCTGTGTGTTGGGAAAAAGCCAAAGCGAACATGTTTCGTTGTAAACGTACCCGTAAATTGGTATCAATTTGCCAACACTGACCAAATAACTTATCTTATTATTCCTATAATTCAATATAATAATAAATATACCGACGTTAAACTTAATCAATCTACATGTACATCCAATCTCAAGGAAGTAAAAATGTTCAATCCAACAAGCACCCGTAATTGGTCTGTGTAGACTATGTAGTGTGGCATATAACTAGGGGGAGGGGGGAAATGGGGGAAACTTCCCCAGCTCGACGTCTGTGCCAGCCCCTTGTGCTCCCCATCAACTCAGAATAATCCACGCAAATTCGAGTGTCCGGTTAATTATTTCTCATTTTAATTTGACATTATGATATTCAAGTAGGTCTATAACAAGTTCAGATAATAATTGCAAATTTAATAAGTATTACTCCTAGCTAAATATACATGTTTATACTAACATCAGATTATGGCAAATGCTATACATGGCGCAAATAACAAAAAATGCGCTTAAGTTTATCAACCACAGTATTTGACAATGTTTGTTTATCGTCACGTATTCTACCTCAAACGCAACATCGTATCAGATTTCCTGAAATAACAATTAAAGTTGATCGGCGAATCAGAATATAACAAAGTCCAGCATTTCCACCCTCACTGCTTATCCACTGTACTTTAACTTTTCGCTCCCCGATATTCTTTGAATGAATTTATATAAATGGACTCATTATATTGTGAGCAGCTGACTTTGAAATACATGTATATCCAAATGTATGCAAGGTCCCGTTCCGGGTTTTTTTTTTGGAGGGGGGGGGCGGTGGGCGGTCTTTTGGTGTTTTTATATTATTATTTTGTATATTTTTTTAACAAATAAAGCCACTATGATTGTTGCATGCTTATTGCATATGCGGCTCGAAATCATAAATTGACAACAAGAAAGCTTCTGCCTCTAACTCCAAACTACATCTAACCAAAATGCACTATTAACATAGACTGGTGTCAAAGATTATACAGTACCTATAAACACTACAACGCCAAGAGAAGCTAGGTACCACTCTCCATATAATGGCTTTACAGCATGCACGGGTTATAGGTCGATGCTAGTCACGTGACTATAGAACAATTCGACCAGCAATTTGACGATTGTCCCTTTAAAAGGAGATGAGTGTGTATGATGATGTATGGTGTCCTATCCTTCCCGGTTGCTTGAGCGGTTTAGCTTTCGTCACTTGTTGGTTGTTACGGTGTTTCCTGCAGTAATACAAAAGCGAAGAACAAACAGTTTGCATCTTAGGTTGTTGAAGAAAACTGGAAAAGCAAAACAATGTTCAATGAAAAAAAACTTGCATAATTCTAAATAAAATCTAAACGGGAACCTTGATATATAAACATAAGGCGGTCTAAGCACAGAAGTCGGTTAAAATTATCTTGCAACGATTTCCAGATGCGCAGACGTAAATTAAACTGAGAATCAGAACTTTCTCATGAAACCCATACAAATATTGATTAGGCATCACCCGATTATTGCTAGGCCACCAATAACTTAAACACACATTTGTACTACTTCATATTTTGATTATTTGAATGAATGCACAATCATAAATTTTACTATCAAATTGGATGGAGTGTTAGTTCTTGCATGACGCTAGAACAGATTCCATCTTTCTAATAATAGGAATACGCGGAGTTCTATTATGATTATTTTGAATCCTTGACAAGGTATAGGTTTTGTTACACTGCCCTCATTGTTCGCTTACCATCACTACAGATCACTCCAGCATCGTGTGAGTGGCTACAACTTGTCTCTTCCCAGCAGTGGGAAGGACAGTCGGTAATTTTCTCTTCGGATCCTTCGCACGCTACGCCGTCCATATGGACGGGTCCGCTACCCTGCCCGAAGTGGGCAGCGGACTTGGCCTCCAGTGCGTCTGAGAAACCGAGCTGGCGGCAGACAATCCCCGCATCAGTCTCGTTCCAATTGGAATCACAGATGGTGCCCCAGCTGCCACCACGGTATATCTCCACTCGGCCGCTGGTGCGAGATCCGCCGACCAACCGAAGCTCATCTGATCATTTCACAATAAAGACATCATCTCAATTTAGAAAACAAGACGAGTTACAGTCTGACGCCTACACTGTGGAGTGGTGTAATGAAAAAGGGGCGGATAGGTAGCCCGCCCTCATGGTTAGTAGACCTCCCAATCCCCTCTTCAGCTGGAAATACAGGCTGATAAAAATATGTCACGTAGCGATCAGAGTCAAATTACCTGTCTGTCAGTGACAGTGTCCCAAAGAACCCATAGGCCTACTGAGGACATCAAGTTGGCCTATATTCAAGAATCGTTCCCCGTGCTATTAACAAATTTTATCCCCAAAAAACAGATTCATTTTCTAAGTTATTGCTATTTTTTTCTATAGCAATACGAAAGTTATTCACTTTTGAATGAGACATTGAGCGAAAAATCATCCCGTTTAGTTGTTGAATCATTAGTACTTTACAGTTCCGAATTATTTGCTTCCAGACAATGATGTTATTCTCGCGGGTAGGCTGGTCCCCGCCCCACAATAAGCCTCTGTACTAATGACGTCACACTTTGTTTATATGTGCGCTTTCCTATGGTTCTTAGTGGACCGTGGGCCCCCACTGGCTCCATAGGAAAGTGCATATGTAAACAAAGTGTGACGTAATAAGTAGTACAGAGGCTTATTAGTATCGATAATGTACGGACCGAGAGCCAGTCTGCTTGCAAATTGGGTCTGTTTGTGCCCAAAGCAAACACAGGGTTGCAGACGATCAAAAAATTAAAAAGAAAATTGTCGGTTAGAATGAAACATACAAGTTGTAAATTTATTAATAGAGAAACAAGATAATATGTTGAAGAGCAAGGGGAACTTAACCTTAAAAGAATCTATGGTTCCAAATAATCAGTTTTGAGAGGCACCGGTAAGGTTTTGAATTCCTATTTTGTCTATTTTGTGGGTGTAAGAGATAACAATCATTATTTCAGATTTTCCATTGAGTTCATCAGTATGTTTTTAGTATATCTGTACTTATTAGGAAGTGCTTTTGTTTGAAGAGTGAGTTTCGGGGTTGAGTACCCCCTTAATTTAGTTGACTTTTATCATCAGAGAATGCTGAAATATCATTAATACATGGAGATGATTTGATAACACAAAAGTTACTTGTGTAATAGTAAGATGAACTTTAGGACACAAAGTCGGATGTGAATGACATGGAAACTAAAGAGGGCGGAGTATTTCTTACCAGATCTTGGTTTACAAACGACTCCTGCTACAGTTGAGCTGTTGCATTGCTGAGAGCCGGTACAGACAAACGGACAGTCAGCCAGCCGTCGTTCAGTTCCAGTACAGGCGACTCGATTCATCACGATCGGCCGGTCACTCTCTCGGCTGGACAACCCCGTTTTAGCCTCCAGAGCCTCGATGAAGCCGAGCTGATGACAAACGGTGGTGGCGTCCTTCATATCCCAACTGTTATCACAGACTGCACCCCAAGCATCATTGCGGAAGATTTCCACTTGGCCGCTCCATTTGTCATCACCGCCCACTAATCGGATCATGCCGCTAGTGACTGTTGAGATCGAGAATTAGTTCCTTTCAAAATTAGTTCTTGGATGACCTGTGCGTTCCGATTTTAAACAACAATCAAACGTAGGCCTAACTCTCAATAGTAATGAGTCTTGTAAGATTCACACTCTTTCATGAGGTTCACTTCTTGGCCGAATGTTTGTGAGTGATACGACCAGCCTCAATAATCGTATCTATAATTTGAACGCAAAACACGCAAAAGATGAGTGTGCAAATGCATATCATTCCTTTAAATTCTTTCCCTATTACAAGGTGCCGTTTCATGGCTCAAATCGCCTAACCAGACGTATTCCCCCTTCCATTGATGACTGTTGTCTGACAATAATGATAATTCTTTTGTCTTTGTTTATTAAAGGCAACTCAACTCAGATCCCCCACTCCATTTGCAATATGAAGGTCATTATCCAATTTGTGATCCAAACCCATCGTTTCATATATGATTTATACTGGGCATTGTCAGAATGCAACAGAGCTCGACCAACACGAGTCATCAATCGGAAAAGAAACGAATGAACACACACAGCAAGTGATATCAGCCGACAACACCATCATCCCAACTCCCGACCCTCTAACTTCCATAACCTTGATACTGACACAGTTTTTATGAGGGTCAAATCAACCCACATTGCAAAAACAGCGGTGTTAGATTTAACACCGTTGTATCTTTACAGGACCTCCGGTTTTCAATTTACAGAGCACTTTTTGTAGTGTAGACCTAAAATAAAATTAAAACAGTCAGATACTAGCATGATCATTCGGCCTGCATCGGAATTACTGTTACATCAGTATGAGTTCAACGTAATTATAGATATGACTTGTATTAATACAACTTCCTCCGGGTTCTATTCATTTTTCATCACAATATGAACATCAAGTCAGTGCCCGCATTTGGTTCTAACAGCGTTGGAATATAAGCCTAGACCTCTAAACTGATCTAACCATTAAAAAGAAATCATTTACACCAAAATGACTAGTGGTATCATTGCCTTTCTACGGCGACTTAGATTGTTTAAATGAGCCCATTTGTATTACCTCGACATCCGAGCACTTCGAACCTCAGGTAATAATAAGTAGAGTGACTCCATGTGAGTGGAAGTATGCGGAAGAATCTTGCCATCAGTACCACGGGGAACGTCACATTCACAGGTTGCCCAGTACCATTGTTCCCATTCAACTGGAAAAAAATATAACGATTTACAATATCACCACCAACGCAACATCAGGCAGCTCAAATATTTGTTCTACGTACGTCGGGCTTCTTTGCTATCTGAAGAGCTGCGCCGATATAGAGAGGCGCTAAGCATGTTTTTGGCGCTATCTCCTTTTAACATGAATGTCCAATTACATGCCTGTAAACACCTTGGGTGATGTGAATGATGCTTGTGACAATTAAAAATGTTACTTGATATAAGTTTCACTCTAGAAATTTTCATTCTAGAAATTATGTTCAAATTTCCATAATTCTTATGTCACTTCCGTTTCTAAGTCTGAGATGTACGCGACGTGAAGAAAACATAATGAACAATGTACTCGCCTTGATACCATTGGCGTCGATCCGGGGGAGGGGGGAGGCGCCGGGGGGGGGGGAGGGGGTTGATCCAAATAATGTTTGCGCTGCAGGGGAAGACGGCGATGGCGCTGCCCCCAATAGTTTATCACAGTGCATAATAGATTATTACCAGTTACATATTGTATCTTACCAATATTATTCGGTACGTGTAATAGCGCTAAGATATTGGTCTTCCACACCCATTTCATGTAAATAAAAACACACTGGAAGGATTTGGGTTAAAACCCGAATACGTGACCATTAAATACATGTTTGAAAAGCTCCCCATAGAGTCAGGTGGCGTGGACGCCCCCCCCCCCCCCCCCCCCCCCCCCCCGCTTTACGAATGCCCATGCTACTTGCCCCCTCAATGTTGACAAGACATCACCGCCGGTGCTTGAGTGTAAACGGATATCGCGACCCGAGCTTAAGTCAAAGGAAGTGCAGATCAAAGGTTTGTTTTAATTCACAAAGACACGTAATTTGACATCAAACCAGTACGAGACCCAATCGTTTCAGGTTTAACAGAAAAAAATGTGTCCCTTTTTAATTGCGAGTTAACGTAATACTTTATAGGCCTACCTCTGCAAATTAATGCAACTAGGGCCGAAACGTTTGCGAAATGACGCACTAGCATAAATAAAACGCGACAGTTTTGCGAATTAACGCAACATTTTGTAACAGGCAACGAAATAGGCGTGATGGAATAGTTTAGCGAAATTTATTAAAAGCAATAAAACTTTTACAGATTAACCCAAAAGCTTTGCAAACTAACTCGATAGTTTTTTTTCCAACACAAAAATATTGCATTAAACGCATAGCGTATAAATACATCAAGTTCTTTCGCAAAACTTTTGCTATAATAATATCACAATAAAAGCAATACTTTACTTATTTAAACCTGGAACGATCGAAATTCCGTACGATTGGCCTTGTGTTTATTCACTGTCCATTTGGAATGTGAAAACTAGAAAATCGATCTTGACAGGATCCTAGGCTCACCTGTACGGTCTGCCCTCTGTCAGTTAGTTTCTGCCAATCATTGGACTCGCCCGTATTACTGTAGTTTACAGCAAAGGTTCGGATATGACGCGAACTGGCTCCATGCACGATGACCCCCGTGATGGCCGTGTACTGACCGAGGTCTACCTGGATCCATTGACCCTCGGGCTTTCCACTCGGGCATATCCACCAACCAGTACCTGTAGGGAATAAAACAAAAGACCATGGCATTCAAAATAATATAGAACCAAATACTACAGGGTTTCCTTAAGAAAAGTACAACCAGTACGGAGTGATTATGACAATGATACAGCAGCGGTTCTACGGGGGCGGGGGAGGGGAGCTAGGGGGTATGGGGTAAGCCCCCCCCCCAAAAAAAAAAAACAACAACAACAACAACAACAACAACAACAACAACAACAACAACAACATTCCATAAAAAAAAAAATTGACTAGCAAAATGTAACAATGTGACGTCCATGCGAACGGTCTCCCCAAAAATAAAAAACGTAAGAAGGGTGCATTTGTACACTGTTAGTTAATATAGTGTGCCTGATTGTAGCATTTTATTAGCGTTTCCATTGAAAATATGGCACGAGCCGCCCCCCTCCCCCCCCCCCCCCACCCCCACCCCCACCACCACCTATTGATTTTCGGAGGCCTAAGTGTCCGGAGAAAATAACCGGTCTACATTTCAGCACGCCTCCCTGAAAAAAAAATTGTGGATCCACTTTATATAGCCCCCCAAGAAAATTGGCTCTAGAACCGCGCCTGCAATAATACCTATTTTGAATTGGAATTTGTAAATTAGTTTTAATTTGAAGTCATTCCTGTTCTGGAGGACTGAGTAACTCTTTGTTTATCCTGAGGGACCCGGACCCCCAGCTTCAGTTGTTAGATGTTAAATGAGGAGAATGAGGTTTTGCCAGAGGCTGCTCGCAAGACCAACACGATTCTTGAACACCTCATAATTAGCGATGAGGTAGGATTTTCCATGAATGACGAGGTTAATACCCAGAACGTAAGACAATATTCTCCACAAGCGACGAAATACACAACCGTTTAATTTGAAAGGAACGACAGTCGCACTAAACTCACTGTTTGTTTCGGAATTTGAGGTAAAGTTCTCATGATTGGCCCTTTTATTCATTGAGGAAAACATTTACTTCGATATGATAAATATTCGGGTCGTTCCTGTACTTGCAGCAAATTTTCATCGTCTGATTGGAGGAACTTGTCAATATCTGTGATGGGCACAATCATAAAGCGTTTCCTGTACAGTCTTCGCCAAAATGCGAATGCGCATCGAAGCAGAGACACGCCAAACTTATTAGGCGCGCAGTGGCACATTTATGCATAGACGGGCCTGGGAATGCATCATCAGGGAAGGAGGACTATGTGGAATGAGTTGATCAATACGATCAGTCAAATTGTTGTGTGAGCATGAACAATGCGGCTGCCAAGAAGATAGCCAAGAAGTTGACGACACAATGTGAAATTTAAGTCTACTCTAAATTAAATGTTTGTGAACTCAAGGGTTTTGTCATTACTTAACATGTATCAATTCACAATTGAGATCCCACAGAATCAACAAAGATTACTCATCCCGAACAGAAATGACTTGCAACAGGCATGACCTGTGTACTGACACAACTTCAAATACCAAATTTGTATTATTGTCATTTGAAGGTCGTTTGTAATCACAATTTTCGTAACTTTTTCGTTGTTGCGGAGCCTATACAAGATCAGTGCCAGGAATTCGCGCTACAGACTTGAGTTAGTGATGTTGATTTTGTTTTAATGACAGTAAACTAGTGACGATTTTTTGTTTTGTACCCAGCTAGGACATGAGAACACTAATGTTACAAAACAAGTCAATAAAATGACAAATAAATCGTAACACGGACAGAGTGATACATAAAATCGGTTTTTATTGGGTCAAGTTTATGGTAAATGCATGGACTATTCTGGGGATAGCCTTATCGCCCATCCCTGGCCAAAAAAAGTGTGCGATAAATCGCTGGGATTGACATAAGCCCTTGAATACAGGATATACGCGGTCTGACTGTAGCATGAGTATTGTTGCTTTCATGTAACGGGAAATTGTCATATACATGCGGCGTGGTGTGCTGGGGCCGTATCATAAGTCCGACGCCTCATAGGTCCGACGCCTCATAAGTCCGAAATTTCGGACTTATGAGGCGTCGGACTTATGAGGCATAAAATTTATTTATTCCGCCTTATTGGTCGAACGCCTCATAAGTCCAACGCCTCTTAAGTCCGACAACGGAAAAACAAGGCATTTAATTTGTCGGACTTACGAAGCGTCGGAGCTATGAGGCGTCGGACCTATGAGGCGTCGGACTTATGAGGCGTCGGACCTATGAGACGTCGGACTTATGAGCCTTTATTTGGTTAGGGGATGCGATTCTGTCGGACCTATGAGGCGTCGGACTTATGAGTGGACCCCGGTGTGCTCACACAGAATCACTTCCTTGCATCTTTCTCTCAATTTCAAGAACAGTTTCAGATTATTCAAGTTCTCCAGGAGTACAGGGTTCAAGCAATAGTTCAAATAAAATATTGAATACAGTAAGCTGACTTGCGGAGATTATCCGGAATCCACGGAGGCTTTTTGTTGTTGTTGTTGGTTGACCTCTATTATATTTAGAAACTTTGACAAAACGACATTTTTGGGTTAAAGACACGTAGGATCATTTGCATGTATCTCAGAAGTAACCAACCGAATTATTATATATATTTTTTTGGATTAAAGATCGTAGGGTACTAACCACCCCGTGGATGTTATTTCGTTTGGCTTGCTGTCATTGCGGAGAAATCAAGAAATGGTGGTGATTTCCAACGATCAGTCAATTGCCTTTTTTTTTTTTTAAATACAGAGTACCATGGGCGAAATCGTGTTTCGTGGTGAAAAGTGCATGGTGTTTCAACGTTTTTGCGAAAAAAATTAGCTGAAGTTTCAACTGGTTAGGTTTAACGTTTAAACATTCATCTTTAAAATTTGAGAGGTGTTATTATTGGAAACGAACAATGCATGAAAAGCAAATGAGCCTAAAGCCTTGAGAAAGAAAGGGGCTGGTCATATTGACCAAGAATGGAATCCATAATTAAAACAATCAAAATGCATCGTTAATTAGTATTTCTTTTACAATTAAGTTTCTAGTTGCATTTCAGAGTCGGGCTAATACATTTCCTATGTCTTAACTCACAAGAAGGCAACATACACAGAGTAAGCAACAGTTGCAGACTGTTGCAATGAGAGACTGGGTAGCAATCAATGAGACTTACTATTCAGTCGGGCCTTGCTTGGGAGATAAGATGAGCTGTGTGAGCCTGACGCCGTCAGGCTGGAATCAGGGATGGCCCCACTGGCCATCCCCAGTGGAGAACTCGTACACGAAAGACCTGAAATGACACAAAATATATCGGATACAAGGTATCATTTTTTTCATTCCCATTTTGCCGACCAAATAAATTTGTTTAGGGGACCACAGCATGAATTTTACACTGGAACATATTTTTTCGCAACCTTCCGTTTCTCTACCATAAAAGAAAACCATAAAACATCATTTCTAGTTTAACAGTTTTCCATTAAACGTTCAAGTATTCAATGCTTTTCCTGACAACAGATTGCGATGTTGCAAACCGCTTCAGCCCGAGTTTAGGGAATTTCTGTCCAAATTGAGATAGGAACCAACGAATTTGCTCATTGAATGATGAGTGCAGAACGTTTGCTCATTGACTTTCTGTTATCTACTGAAACAATCACGAATTGCACCAAACACCCAGAAGTTTACTTCTGCAAAAAGTCCCAAATTCTGACATCTTGTCGTGCTGAAGCAGCTTTATAGGGAATGGACACCATTAATTTTTGCAAAATTCCAGAAGAAAAATGAAAGAAATCATTAAATATCACACTTGATTGTAAGTAAATAATAGGATCATGCAATGAGTGAAATCAGTGCGCCTAGTATGCTATCATTTTCGAGAAAAGAGTCATTATCATCATTTAATCGGAATGGTTAGGACAAAACCATTGCACTTTTATTGGGAACCCATATACTTTGCGTCGAGAAAAATGAAGTTACATTTTCAAGGATATTTACTTTGCTTGGTTTTTAATAACCTTCTTCAGATTGATTGTATCGGTATTTCTTGAATGTGATAGGGCCTATATCCCCGCTCCATTCCCTTTCTAGTTGTTTTCTATTCCGATTAAATTCAGAGAATTGGGACTGCATAAAGCTGCGGTATAGCTTCATATTTGTAAAGATGGTTTAAAATTGTTCGTTTTTTCCGGTCAGTGGTTTCGTTACCGTATAATTCCAGTATATATTTGCTTTTTCTTTTCTTTGTATCAATATGGTGATTTTTGGTAAGGCGGCAGAACGCTATGTCCCAATCTATAACAATTTAGCTCAAGTGTCCACTGACACTTATTCAAATGGGCCATATTTTGTCGACCGTAAACTTGAAAAGTTGACTCTCCATGGCAAACTCTTGGTGGCGCACTGCATTGCGAATCGCCCGAATTACAGGGGTGGGTGATAAAATGGGTCATTATATTTGTTCTTGCACAGATAATAACTATTACCGCATGTGTCCCCTCATTCAAAGGAATACGAGGTCTGGAGTGGAACACCCCCCCCCCCCCCCACACACACACACACACACACACCACCACCACCACCACCCGCCACCACCACCACCACCACCATCGGAACGCAACACGGCAAACACATAGGGGTACAAACAATACATTAAATGTTACTATTAAACATCAGCAATTTCATGTGCTTTTTTTACCTGAAATGCTTGAGCTCCTTGCCTGGTCCTGTGACGTCACATCTTGCACCACAGGATGGGCCGAGCATATTTCTAAAATACAAAGTCGAAATTATGATATTTTGATTTTCATTCTTTTTTTATACTGGAATAAACATAACCGACAGATGATAGGCACAAAATGCGTCTCGCGTTTTCACACAAAGAAAGTTTGGGCATTCTGAAAACTGAATACAGTGGATTCGTTTAAATTGTATAGTAAATACGGATACAGCACTGAGTAAAACTGATGAGGCATCAAAACAAATATCACATGGTCAATATACTAAAAAAAACTATGAAATTGAAACTAACAAGGCGAAACTGTATAAAAATGTACCGTACCAGATATTTTCCATTTTCAACTCCCCAAAATAGATTTCTTGCTTAAGCTGCTTTTTTCCTAATAAGAGAGTTATTCAATTTAACTCTACAAAGTTCGAATTGATTTAAGCCGACAATAAGTCGTTCTCGCAGGGTAGACTGGTTCCCGCCCCATTAGGATTCATTGTGTAGGGACGGGAACCAGTTTACTCACAGGGATTTGTGTGTGGGCATAATATAAGCCTGCGCCTTTCAAACTACTGAAGGAAGAAAGTAGGTTTTCATTCAAATTAACGAAACAAGTTTTAAAATTCGTCAGAAGAAAAAGAATATAATTCGTTGGAGAACACAGACGGTATATCTTTATCAAAAGGTGCACGCAATAAATGTTATTAAATTCTTTATTAAAAAGAGAAGTTTATATATCTTAGGACGCAACAATAAGACAATGGAGCCTTCTGATTTTGGTAGTTTCTCGGAAAGCACTGTCAAATGTTTAATAAACGTCCATTCAATTACAGCTTGAAAAATGGTAGTTTTCATGAAATCATCACGCGAAGGAATTTTGGCCATACAAATTTTGATCTTCGAAAGTAGAGCTATTGTTACGCTAGTTGTCATTTTAATAACAAATGATTCGTAAACAGAGTGCGTTTGCACACTCTTTGTGCTCGGATTGTAACTTTGAACCTCGGAAACACAAAATGTCAGCTATAAAAATCAGTTGCCTACTTACAGGGTTTTACGTGTTCTTTGCAATGGAAAATAATGTATGATAAGTACGATTGAAAATCAAACAATCAATTCAGTTTCACACTTACGTAAGGGCGCAGATATGATGGCAAGTGTGGCCGCCAAGAGCATCAGATTTGATATCGGAGAGTAAGACATTGTGTACGAAAATGAAAGTAATTCAAGACGTCTTAAGGAGAGATCAGCTGGAGCCGAGTATGAACCGATGGAGGTTGGTAGTCGGTTTATATATCATGGTGCTGGACATCCAGGGAAGGGTGTGTCGGCGATAAAATGCCTGAGCAGATATCTGACTTTGCTGCAACAATCAATCCCCTGAGACGTTGTCCACGTGAGCCTGTTTGTGTTAGTAGGAAGCCAACAATCTGTATGGGGGAGGGGATGATCCAATGTGACATCATCCTAGTCAGGAGGGGGTGGTGCATAAGCCCCCTCGCCAATCTCCCACCACCTAAGCCCGTGGAAGGGACATCAACGATTATTCCATATACTCAATCACACAAGAATCTTTCCCGCATTTCCAAATCGTTCCCACACGTTCGTACGATTTTCCTAAATCGATCACACAACTTCAGAAATCGTGGCACTATTTTTTTTTCTTTGCTACTACATCCCTTTCTAGGCTTTAGTCAGCAAATTTTAAATGTAATTATATAAAACGGGAAGTCGATTTTTCTTCATTTCCTTGTGACGCATGTGTTCTGGCACTGGATTAACCGCGCAAACTGTGACGAGCCAGCAACTAAAATGTTCAAGGATCTTTATGGTGCGCAAAAGTGACATTCAGTCAGGTTGAAGCGGTATCTTTTGGTCATTTTACGATATCTCCAGTTATTTCCAGTTATGTCCAATAGTTCTAACCATTTCCTTTTGCTATTTAAACACCCTTGGTGATTACTTCGAGATATCTTGAAATCGATTGCAAGTATTTTCAAATAGTTTCAAATTATGTTTGTAATGATTTCAAGACATCTCGAAATTAAGTTCAAGGTAGGCCTATCTCGAAATCTATAACAAATTTTCTTGAAATCCATTTCAAGCGGACCCTGAATTCATTTCAAGACCTCCCGAAATCCTTTTCAAGTTAGTTCGAAGTCGTTTTCCGCTTCCGTGTGAATAGTCATTAATCATTCCGTTTTCATCAAATGTCCGACAGTGCTTGCGCCCGTGGAATGGCGGAAGCGGAAACGTTTTTAGGATATCTTGATATGCACGTATAGTGACATCTTAAAATCGATTTCGACTAGAGATATCTCAAGACAGATTTCAAGATGCCCTTGAAATGGATTTTAAGATGTTTGAAGTGATATTAAATATGAATTTAAATTTAAGTGCTGTATATTTACATGCATGTAACCACATCGTCAAAGTGAATAATGCCACTTGTGCGCGCCGTATTTGACTTTGGCTTGGCAGTACATCCAACATCTGGCAGTGACATTGCTGTGCAGACCGTATACCAATGCCCCACGCAGGGACCTAGGCGGAGCTGAAAACAATGTCCGGGTTAAACATTCATTTCCTTGTGACGCATGTGTTTTGGCGCAGTGGTTCATAGTTACCCTCATTGTATGACGAGCCTGCAACTAACATGATCAAGATGGTAATCACAGTCAGAGTTAACTTGAAATGTTCTTGGAAATACATCATACATCTGGCAGTGACATTACAGCAAGCACGAATAAGGAAGTGGGGGAGTCATCCCCTGCCCCCCCCCCCCCCGCCTTCCTGTATGTTGGGGAAAAAGCCAAAGCGAACATGTTTTGTTGTATACGTACCCGTAAATTGGTATCAATTTGTCAACACTGACCAAATAACTTATTATGCCTATAATTCAATATAATAATAAATATACCGACGTTCAACTTCATCAATCTACATGTACATTCAATCTCAAGGAAGTAAAAATGTTCAATCCAACAAGCATCCGTAATTGGTCTGTGCAGACTATGTAGTGTGGCGTATAACTACGGGGAGGGGGGAGGGGGGCAACTTCCCCCACTCGAGACCTGTGCCAGCCCCTTGTGCTCCCCAACTCAGAATAATCCACGCAAATTCGAGTGGCCAGTTAATTATTATTCATTTTAATTTGACATTATGATAATCAAATAGGTCTATAACAAGTGCAGATAATAATTGCAAATTTAATAAGTATTACCCCTAGCTAAAAATACATGTTTATACTAACATCAGATTATGGCAAATATTATACATGGCGCTAATGAAAAAAAAAATGCTTATGTTTATAAACCACAGTATTTGACAATGTTTGTTTACCGTCACGTATTCTACCTCCAACGCAACATCGTAGCTTTCCTGAAATAACAATTAAAGTTGATCGGTGAATCAGAATATAACAAAGTCCAGCATTTCCACCCTCACTGCTTATCCACTGTACTTTAACTTTTCGCTCCCCGATATTCTTTGAATGAATTTATAACAATGGACTCATTATATTGTGAGTAGCTGACTTTGAAATACATGAATATCCAAATGCATGCAAGTTCCTGTTCCGGGGTGTTTTTTTTTTTTTTTTGGGGGGGGGGCTGGGAGGTCTGTTGGTGTGTTTATGTTATCATTTTGTATATTTTTAAAAACAAATAAAGCCACTATGATTGTTGCATGCTTATTGCATATGCGGCTCGAAATCATAAATTGACAACAAGAAAGCTTCTGCCTCTAACTCCAAAATACAACTAACCAAAATGCACTATTAACATAGACTGGTGTCAAAGATTATACGGTACCTATAAACACTACAACGCCAAGAGAAGCTAGGTACCACTCTCCATATAATGGCATTACAGCATGCCGAGGATAGTCACGTGACTATAGAATAACTCGACCAGCAATTTGATGGCCCGAAATACCATGAAACAAATATTGTCCCTTTAAACGGAGATGAGTGTGTATGATGATGTATGGTGTCCTATCCTTCCTGGTTGGCTGAGCGGTTTAGCTTTCGTCACTTGTTGGTTGTTACGGTGTTTCCTGCAGTAATACAAAAGCGAAGAACAAAAACTTTGCATCTTAGGTTGTTGAAGAAAACTAGGAAAAAGGGGGTAAATTCAATTGAAAATAACTTCTAAATAAAAACTAAACAGGGTTCTTGATCTACAAACATGAGGCCGTCTAAGCACAGAAGTCAGTTAAATTTTCTTTCTCAACGATTCCAGATGCGCAGACTTAATATAATTAAGAATTGAGACTTGCTCAAGAAACCCATGCAACTATTGATGAAGGCATCCACCGATTATTGCTAGGCCACCAATAACTTGATCACACATTTGTACTTTTTGAGCTTTTGTTCATTTGAAAGAATGTACAATATTGATCTTTACTAAATTGGATGGAGTATTGGTTCTTGCATCACGCTAGAACAATTCCATCTTTTTGATAACCTCATAACAGGAATACGTGGAGTATTTTCTAAGATGATTTGAATCCTTGACGAGATGGTTTAGGATTCGTTACACTGCCCTCATTGTTCGCTTACCATCACTGCAAATCACTCCAGCATCGTGAGAGTGGCTACAACTTGTTTCCTCCCAGCAGTAGGAAGGGCAGTCGGTAATTTTCTCTTCGGATCCTTGACACGCCACGCCGTCCATATGGACGGGTCCGCTACCCTGCCCGAAGTGGGCAGCGGATTTGGCCTCCAGTGCGTCTGAAAAACCGAGCTGCCGGCAGACGATTCCCGCATCCGTCTCGTTCCAATTTGTGTCACAGATGGTTCCCCAGCTGCCGCCACGGTATATCTCCACTCGGCCGCTGGTGCGAGATCCGCCGACCAACCGAAGCTCATCTGATCATTTCATAATAAAGATATCATCTCAATTTAGAAAACAAGACGAGTTACAGTCTGACGCCTACACTGTGGAGTGGTGTAATGGAAAAGGGACGGATAGGTAGCCCGCCCTCATGGTCAGCAGACCTCCAAATCCCCTCTTCAGCTGGAAATACAGGCTGAAACAATATGTGACGTACCTACCAAAATCAAATTACTTGACCGTCAGTGACAGTGCCCCGTGGAACCCATAGGCCTACTCATGACATCCAGTGGGCCTGTATTCAAGATTCGTTCATCGTGCTATTTATGAGTTTTATCCAGAAAAAAATAGATTCATTTTCTATGTTATTGCTATTTTTCTATAGCAATACGAAAGTTATTCACTTTTGAATGAAACATTGAGCGAAATATCAGCCCGTTTAGTTGTTGAATAATTATTACTTCACAGTTTCGAATTATTTGCTTCCAGACAATAATTCTATTCTCGCTGGTCCCCGCCCCACAATAAGCCTCTGTACTAATGACGTCACACTTTGTTTACATGACATCCTATGTTGCTTAGTGGACCGTGGGCCCCCACTGCCTCCATAGGAAAGTGCACATGTAAACAAAGTGTGACGTCATTAGTATCGATAATGTACGGACCGGGAGCCAGTCTGCTCGCAAAGTGGGTCTGTTGTGCCCAATTTTTTTCTTCTTCAGAGGGTTGCAGACGTCCAAAATGGAAAATTTTAGGTTGGAAGAAAACATACAAGTTGTACATTTATAAATAGGAAAAAAAAAATATATGTTGAAGAGCAAGGGAAAATCAACCTTAAAAGAATAATGGTTCAAATAATCAGTATTGGGAGGCACAAGTAAGGTTTTGAATTCCTATTTTTGAATGCCTATTTAGTGGGTGTAAGAGATAACAATAATTGTTTCAGATTTTTCATTGAGTTCATCTGTATATTTTTCCTATACTCATTAGGGAAGTGCTTTTGTTTGAAGAATGTGTTTCAGGGTTGAGTACCTCCTTATGTGACGCTGAAATATCATAAATACCTGGAGATGATTTGATAACACAAAATTCACTTGTGTAATAAGCTGAGGTTAAAGACACAAAGTCGGATGTGAATGACATGTCATAAAAACTAAAGAGGGCGGAGTATTTCTTACCAGGTCTTGGTTTACAAACGACTCCTGCTACAGTTGAGCTGCTGCATTGCTGAGAGCCGGTACAGACAAACGGACAGTCAGCCAGCCGTCGTTCAGTTCCAGTACAGGCGACTCGATTCATCACGATCGGCCGGTCACTCTCTCGGCTGGACAACCCCGTTTTAGCCTCCAGAGCCTCGATGAAGCCGAGCTGATGACAAACGGTGGTGGCGTCCTTCATATCCCAACTGCTATCACAGACTGCACCCCAAGCATCATGACGGTAGATTTCCACTTGGCCGCTCCATTTGTCTTCACCACCCACCAATCGAATCATGCCGCTAGTGACTGTTGAGATCGAGAATTAGTTTCAATCAGAATGAGTTCGCGTATGACATGTGTGTTCCGATTTTG